AACTTCCAAGAGAAGTGGTGCTGGCTCCTACCCTGGAGGTCTTTAAGAGGAGGCTAGTTGTACACCTTGCTGGGGTCATTTGACCCCAGTACTCTTTCCTGCCATGGCAGGGGGTCGGACTTGATGATCTGCTCAGGTCCCTTCTGACCCTACTAACTATGAAACTATATCTAACTAGTGCTGACAAAGCATTTTTTTAAATGCAGTAAACTCTTTCCAGTGCACTTATCTGGAAGCGTGAGTCAAAAACTGCTTCCCCACCCCTATAAGTGACACTTTAAATAACAAGTCCACCATCAGCCATTGGCCATATTGCTAAGGACTGATGCATTTCATAGGAGCTCATTGTGAGACTGTCTACAGCTGATTTAATAATAAATTTGCTCTCATAAGTAGTAATAATCACACTGCTTTTTTGTTGGAATCAAACAAATTTCTTTCCTTAAATTAGGAAAAGAATTAGTTTACTACCTCTAACTCTATGTTCTCATACTATTAATATCTCACATGGTTCTTGTGATTGAGGAGACCTCCATCAAAAGTCAGTCCAACAACTTCACCAGACTTTGAGGCAAACTGTTCACCATCAGAGAAGCCCACGCAGGATACAAGAATCTCTATAACAACCCCTTTGTAACAACTGAGCAAGGAAGAGAATAGGCTGGAGTGAGCAGGAGGTTTGGCTTTCGGAGCCTCCTAATTGTGTGGAAGCTTGCTGGGGAACAGGGACGTGTATCAGGGTCCTAAACCACTACCATTGCCTCCCAGCCCTCTATGGCTTTCTCCTACTCCCATACTCTACTAACCCAAACTACACAGACCTCTGGGTAGATTCTTCTTTTGTTTCTGGAAGGCAAACTATGTTCCCAGTTTTCTGGAATACTCCTTAGTAGTCTGGAACAAGGAGATGGTCCTTTGAGGGCTGCACTTTCCCCTTATATGCAGAGTACCACTTCAGATCATTAACATAAACAAAACTTTCCCAGAATACCTCCCCAATCACTGCATTAACACCTTCCCATCTACATATTATCAAATCTTACATTGCTATCCATATAGTCTGTGCTCACTTAACAATAGCTTTCCTGGAAAATGGAAGCTGGAGAAAGCACAGTATTAAGTTTATTCACAATTACTATGATTGTTATCAGATTTCAAGGCTTCATTCAGAGTTGTACCATATTTCAATTATTTACTGAAGGCACATTATATAGCCACTATTACAAACTGTTCATAGCCTTATACACTAAATCACTGAGTTGTCGATTATTTAAAACTATCTCTCTCACAAAGCCTAAATTTATAAATCAGTTGTATCCAAGTTCACAAGCAATTTTGCTTCTTTTAACTTTGTATATGTTAATTATATTATTTCACCCTAAGAAGAAGCCTCCAATGAATCAAATACTTGTGGAAGGTAAATTTGTAAGTTTAGACAATTCTACAGAAACACACAATTCGAAGACAATATGCTGACATAAAGCACTCAAAAGCCACATACTAAATATGACAGTAACCAAGGACGTTTCTGGATTAATCATGGATAATTGTTTCCCTTCAAATTGGGAGTGCACAAACTTCAATATTTCAGGTGCCTAGGAAAGGATTCAGAGATTTCTTGAAGTACATGAAACCCATAAACTAAATGACCATGGGTACCCTGCACTGCAAATTCAGAAGCACTGCCTTGGAGATGCTGCAGTGTCAGTGACACGCTAAATGAGAAAATCTGTTTTAGTGCAAAAAGCTAGGTTGTGAACAAACCAAAGCTACAATTAGTAGCAGGATTGATATGAAATTTATACAGGCAACTACTTGCCAGTCCTGTGCCAAGGTGGATGGATACTGAAAAGGGTTAGGAAGGTGACACAAGTATATGAAATGCAGGTTAAAATATACCCCATCCTAATTCCAAGTCACCTTGTTTACTGGGTCTGATAACTTACTCCAGGTTTATTTTTACTTTAAAAGCAAGAGGAATCACAGAATCAGAAAATCAGGGTTGGAAGGGACCTGAGGAGGTCATCTGGTCCAAACCCCTGCTCAAAGCAGGGCCATCCCCAACTAGCCCCAGCCAAGGCTTTGTCTAGCTGGGGTCTTGAAAAACCTCCAAGGATGGAGATTCCACCACCTCTTCCAGTGTTTTACTTCCTTCCTAGTGGGAAAGTTTTTCCTAATATCTAACCTAAACTTCCCTTGCTGCAACTTGGGATTATTGCTCCTTGGTGCAATCAGCTTGGTATCTCAAGAACAGTCCCAGAGAGATTGCTTAGTAGGGACACTTTTTCCTTTTCAAAGCACCTGAGTATGAAGGTGATTCATTGGACTTGGACAAAAATAATTTAGTCATAAATTTCTCTTAATAGCAGTGCATCAATATCTCATTGCCTTGGCTGCTTTCTGCACCAAAAAAAAATCTCTCTCATGATCTGTAATAGAAATAGTATAAGAAGTTCCCTATAAAAATTACTCACCCCATTTCCTGTTTTACCAGCAACCAGGCAGCATGCTACAGGCCATCAGCCACACCCAGGAAGGAGAGAGAGAAAAAATGCAAGTGAAATCAAGGGCTTGGTAACATTCAAATTATCTGACAGCACTGTTGGTACAAGCCTATGCTGACAATCCTGCCAGTATTGTTCTGAAGGAAAAACTAATATTCACAAGGCACAGGAAACAACTGGAACTGTTTCCAAGATAACTAACCATCTTCATTCATTCTACTTGACAAATGAAGGTAAAAATCTCATCTTATTACTTTTGTTTTGTGTTTTCACTTTAAAGAGACCAACCCATTTCTTAAAAAGCATCCCCTCTCCTTGTAAAGAGAAGCCCTTGCTCTCAGAGTGAGCGGTCCCAAAACACAACGAATGAGAATCCTCTTCTCCCCACAGACACATTCAGAAGCTGAGGTACGGTTTTGGGGGGGGGGGGGGGGGGGGG